GCAAGGTGGACCTAAAGGTAGGAGTGTCTAATAGAGTGGACAGTGAGTGGACACAGTGTTTAAAAACTCCAGCAGCTCTGCTGTGTCTGATCCACTCATACTCTCTCTCTCTCTCTCTGTCTCTCTCTCCCCCTTTTTTCACATTCTTTCTCTTTTCACTCTCTCTCTCTCTTTCATTCTACTTTTTCTCACTTTCTACGCTCCTTCCTCTTCTCTCTCTCTCTCTCTCTCTCTCTCTCTCTCTCTCTCTCTCAGTGATAATCCTGCAGTAGTTCTTTAACAGAGTGGTAATTTGGTGAGGGTGGGGGTGCAGCGGGGCTGTTTGAGGGGGGGTTAAAGTGTTGTTTGAAGTTGGGGGAGCCCCACCGCTCTGGAATGTGTCCTCCATTAGCAGCTCCTCCTTTCTCTCCCTCCTCCTTTCCCTTTCTTCTCTCTCCTCTTCTTCTTTTCATGTTTCTCTCTTCAGCTCTGTGTGAGGATCCGCTCCGCTAATCCGCTCCGGCTCTCCGTAATCTCCTCCTCATCAACACCGTTAGCTGAGAGCTAATTTACTCTTCCTGCTCTTCACCACTTTTTCAAAATACGTTCTCCGAGTTTACAGCTTGTCCCAGAATGTTTTGCTTGATTTGCTGCACCTTTTTTTTTTTACAGAGATCGTTTGAGTTTCCAGCTTTATTCCAAAAACATTTTCTGAACTTCCATGTTTTTCCCAAAACATTTGAGTATCCATTTCTTAATTTTCATCCTATTTCCAAAAAATATTCAAACCATGTTTTCCATGTTTTTTTCCAACACATCTTCAGTTTTTTGTTCTAATAGAAACAGTTTCTTAGTTTCCATTTCTGAATTTCCACTCTTCCCAAATGTTCAGAACTCTGAAATTTTTCCTTTTAAAAACTTGTTCTAAATTTCCATATTTTTCCAAAACATTTTCAGTGTTTTTCCAGAGCACTGTACTTCCACACCTTTCCAGGTCTGGGAATTATGCTCTCCAGACTGATCCACGTCCCGAAAACAAATAAAATCAGTAATGGATACCAAAAGATGTCTGTGTGGAGACTGTAGCTCATTACTGATCATCGGTCATCAGTATTGATCTCTGATCAGGCAGGTGTTCTGCACTGCAGCGTTGGTCGCTACAGTGTTTACCTGAACTTCATCTTTCTCGTTACTCCACCAGTTCGCTCTGATTGGCCGTTGGTGCAGGATGGGCGGGGCTTTCGTATGGGGAGGAGTCAGTGGAGGTTGTGTTTTGTAGAAATGAGTTTCTGCAGCTGGAGAAGAAACTGTTTTCATTTTTCTCCGTTTTGTGTGTAAATTACTGCGTGGAGGGAAACCGCAGAGTCTGGAGTTTGTCTGTTGGGTAACATCGTGTTCTGAGAGAATTTGGCAGCTCTGGACCTTCAATTAGAGACCAGAACCCGGTTCTGCCATCCACTAAACTCACTCACACGCTCAGTCTGCTCCAGTAACATCTGCAGGTCCTCTCTCTCTCCAGGTTTCTCAGAGTTTCTAAACTTATACAGTAAGATACAGTTTTTATGTTCAGATCACTGGAATATGATCTCAGATCTCAGGTCGTCACTGGAGTTTTCCTTTTTTTCAGTTTCCTGCCTGATAAACCCCATATTTACGCCTGTAGCTCCATCACGTTTGTTCTGAACTGGCTGATAATTAAATGACTGATTCACTGTAAATTGATTCAGAATCAAATTCTGGCTTGTTATGATTTGCTTTTCTGATTCGTTGTTTCAGATCTTGATTCATTGTAAGTTGGCTGCAAATCAAATTCTGGTTCATTTTGACTTGGTTAAGAGAGGAGTTGAATGAGGGTTTTTCTTTGAGGCATTTCCAGACTCCCTTGTTTCTTTTCCTCCCTCGTTCCAGTCAGGTCAGATTTTGTTCGTGTCGCTGCTTGTGTGACTCTTGCTGTGACCTTTGACCTCTCTCACCTCTCTGACCTCGTCACTAATCAGGGCCCAACATTTCAGCACTGTCGCCCCCCCCACCTCTGTAGGAAGAGTGCTTGTGTCTAATTCAAGATATCTAATCCATAACCGTACACATTTTAATATTTGATATGAGTATTGATTCTGAGACAGAGATTCATTTTGATTTTTGATGTTTTCAGTCCTGAAATTCTCATTCAGAAAAAACTCTACAGAATGACTGTGTGGATCATATGAACATTATAGAGCTTTATAAATGAAACAGTAGAAGCCATATCGCCCCCTACACTTCCTGTAGTATATTACAGTCTGTCAGAGTGACTGTGTGGATCATATGAACATTATAGAGCTCTTTGTTTTTAAATAAACAATGTTAGTGAAAAAAATGGATGTTATTCCATAATCACTGTTGACTGATCTCTGCAGTGCTCCTTCTCTCAGTCAGCAAACTAGACTTGCTCTCTCTCTCTCTCTCTCTCTCTCTTTGTGTCTTTCTATCTCTGTCATCACTCTATCACTCTCTCCCCCTCTTTCCATCTCTCTCTCTCTCTCTGTCTGGCTCTCTCACTCTCTCTCTCTCTCTCTCTCTCTCTCGCTCTCTCTCTTTCTTTGTGTCTTTCTATCTCTGTCATCACTCTATCACTCTCTCCCCCTCTTTCCATCTCTCTCTCTCTCTCTGTCTGGCTCTCTCTCTCTCTCTCTCTCTCTCTCTCTCTGGTCTCCAGTGACTGTCATCAGTGTGGTTGCCTAGCAACAGCTGCAGCTCGTGTGTTGCCGGGATGCGTCTGAGTGAGCACGTGCAGTCGTACACTGATTTGTGCGTGTGCGCGCGTGTGCGCATGTGTGCGTGTGTGTGTGTGAATCTGATAATGACTCCATTTGATATTGATTGTTCAGGATGATTCAGTGAGTCGTGAAGTTACACACTTCATTATCCGTCTTGAATTGTTTTTGATTCTTTACTAAACGATTCAGTGCGTAATGAAGTATCACATTTTATCATGATTAGTTTTGATTTTGTTGTGATTCTTTAAGATCTGATTCAGTGCATCATTAAATCTCCCATTTCACTATGAATTACTTTGATTCGTTTATGATTCTTTAGGAAATTACATGACCACAGTTCAATTTGATTCACTAACGATTCTTTAGGTTTTTGATTTTTTGATTTATTGATTTATTGTCTCTCCAAATCTCAGATTTCACTATGATTTGATTATGATTCTTTAGGAAATGATTCAGAACACCGTGAAACCTCCTGGTTAACCATGATTCAGTTTCATTCGTTTATAATTTTTTTGCAAATTTAGGAAGTTATTTTATCACCTTTCAGTATGATTCACGTATGATTCTTTAGATGATGATCTAATGCCAGTGCATGAACATTTCGTCATGATTTGGTTTGATGTGATTCGGTATGATTCAGAGTCATTTTTAAAACTGTACTAAATGAAATAGCATGTAAGGTTTATTTTGTCCAAAAATGAGAACAATATCTATAAATGCCACTAAAGTTGGACTGTATCATATTTATTACTCCATCAGTAACAGACAGAAACAGCTGGATTGGGTAGCAGAGTCATGAGTTTATGGTTATATATTACGTAGTAATATAATATTGTTACTGTGCTGCTCTAACGGTAGACTGCAGCATGTTCATTAGTTTTGTAATCAGTTTATTTTATTGTCTGGGGTTTGGCTGTCAGTTGAGTGCAGCACACACACCATCACCACAGCAACACCCTGCGTGTTCTGCTGCACGTCCAATCACAGCCGCTCGCACACGCGTGTGTAAACTGTTGCTCACTGAGAGTGGTGTTCTGAACTGCAGCCTCACTCAGCCTCTCTCTCTCTCTCTCTCTCTCTCTCTCTCTCTCTCTCTCTCTCTCTCTCTCTCTGTATCTCTGTCTCTCGCTCTCTCTGTATCTCTCTCGCTCTCTCTCTATCTCTCTCTCGCTCTCTCTCTTTCTCTCTCTCTCTCTGTCTCTCTCTGTCTCTGTTCTCTCTCTATCTCTGTCTCTCTCTCTGTCTCGCTCTCTCTCTGTCTCTCTCTCTGTGTATCTCTGTCTCTCTCTTTCTCTGTGTCTCTCTCTCTCTCTCTCTCTCTCATTCTCTCATTATATGCTGGTCTTAGGTTTGTGCCTGGTGACGGTTAACTGAGTTACCGTGGTAACAGCCCCAGTGATGGTAGAAACTCGTTTACTGCTGGTGTTATTGGGCTCTAACACAGCAGAGCTCTAACCTTCCCACACGTGATCAGATCTGACCAGTTAAACATGTCGGTGATGTGAGACCCACGTTAAAGGTGCAGTGTGTAAGATTAGAGATGGAAGGATCGATCAGCTGTATCGGTATTAGTATTGATTTTCAGTCCAAATATGCGATGTGTTTCATATCTAAATGCTCCGTTATCTTCATCACTACTTTCCAAAACCGCTGCAGCAGCTTCAGCAGCTGTAAACTCTCTGCACGCCGTTTCACACGAGTCTCCGATGTGGACTGAATGAAGAATGAAGGGTGTCCGGCGTGATGGTCAGTCCTTAGTGATTTCCTGAGTGTCCATTGGTCAGTTTCACACAGAATGTAGACGGACACACCAATCCACCAGTTCCACACGGTGAGAGGCAGATGACGTGTATCTCAGCCCCTCTTCATAGGCTCATAACTCCGGATGTGAGTCTCGTATGATCTCGAGATAAGATGGAATGGAAAGGGCGACTCTACAGATTCAGGAAGTGTTTGAACTGGATTTCTGAGCTGGATCATCACAAAGACACAGACACAGATACAGACACAGATACAGACACAGAGGATTTGATGTGTGGGAGAGTTTGTGGAGCCCAGAGGGTTTAATGTGTGTTCAGTCAAAATATCACGGTACATATTATGTGTTGTGAAAATTCGCCCACCTCCCAGTTATAATAGGTGCTGTAGCTTTTTGCACAGCCTGCATTTTATGGTTTATTTTCCCAAGTGTGTAAAGTTGTGTTATGAATTATTACACTCTACTCATCACAGTTCTCCCCCCCGCCTCCCTCCTTCTCTCCGTAGGTCAGAAGACATGTCTGCACCTGCACGGCGTGCTGCCGTACGTCTTTGTGCCATATGATGGCTTTGGGCAGCAGCCAGATCGCTACCTGCGCCAGGTGGCCTACAGCATTGACCGAGCGGTCAACATCAGCCTGGGAAACCCAGCCTCCACCGCCCAGCACATCTACAAGATCACCGTAGTGTCCGGCATGTACGTAAACAAACACACCAAAACCTCGCATCTCTAAAAATACGACCGTTTCAGGAGAAGGAGAAAACGTTCTAAACTTTGAGTGGAAGTGAGCGGAGCGACCTGCCTTTCCACGTAATTTTGGAGCATCTCTGTTGGTCCATTTATTATGAAATACTAACACAATATGAAGAGCAGCTGGCATTTTCAAAATGCGACATGTTGATTTTAGGTTATATATTTTCCAGAACTCTACAGAAAATGAAGCACCGCAACATTTAACCCGATATGCCAAACCTGCATCACTTTTAACAGTGACGAATGCAGTTATATATAAGGGCTGCTCGATTATGGCACAGATCATCATCACGATTCTTTAGGTCAATACTGAGATCACGATTATTTAACATGATGACTCACCGGCTTATAACAACTTATAATGAAATATAATTCAGCTGAAAAACAAATATTAAAAAAAAAAAGATACACAAAAAAATCACACTGTGTGTGTGTGTGTGTGTGTGTGTGTGTACATATATATATATATATACACACACAAACGTTGAAGTATATAATATAAAAATAATAAGTAATCTAAATAAGATCACAATAAATAAGATTAACTGTTTCGCAGTGCACTTCCACAGCCTACTGAAAACTACTGTGTCTATGTCTATATAATGTGTATGTGTGTTAGATGTCTATGCATGTGTAACAGAAAGGCTGCGCTACGTTTATAACGACAAAACAAGAGCCTCTTTAGTGAAATGGAATGTGGCACAATAGTCACTTCGTCTTGTTTTTATCATGATTAGAAGGCAAAATAGTTATTGAAAATTCAGTTAATCATCAAACTTCTATATATATATATATATATATATATATATGTGTTTGAAAAGATGCGGTGGAGCTTCACAGGACTCGGAGTTTTTGTCTTCACCCTCCTAGAGCTGGTGGATCTGACTAAATTGGGAAGAGAACTGGAAAAAAAAATTACTATATTTTTGTACATATTACTAGTCTCTCTCTCTCTCCCTCTCTCTCTCTCCCTCTCTCTCTCTCTCTCTCCCTCTCTCTCTCTCCCTCTCTCTCTCTCTCTCTCCCTCTCTCTCTCTCTCTCTCTCTCTCTCTCTCTCTCCCTCTCTCTCTCTCCCTCTCTCTCTCTCTCTCTCCCTCTCTCTCTCTCTCTCTCTCTCTCTCTCTCCCTCCCTCTCTCCCTCTCTCTGCAGGCCGTTCTATGGTTATCATGCTCAGGAGAAGCCCTTTATGAAGATCTATCTCTACAGCCCTCAGATGGTGAGAAGGTGGGTCTCCCTGATGAACATGCTCTGTTTGAAGAGGCAGTAATTAATGCAGTGTGTTAATTAGAGCGGAGCTGATGAGTGGACACTGCGGTCAGTGTTACAGACTGGAATGGTGAGGGTGCTGCTCACTGTGCTGAGTTAGATAATGACCCAGCACGGTCTGGAGGAGTGTGTGTGTGTGTCTGTGTGTCTGTGTGTGTGTGTATCTGTGTGTGTGTCTGTGTGTGTGTGTGTGTGTGTGTGTGTATGTGTCTGTGTGTGTGTGTCTGTGTGTGTCTGTGTGTGTGTGTGTCTGTGTGTGTGTATGTGTCTGTGTGTGTGTGTCTGTGTGTGTGTATGTGTCTGTGTGTGTGTGTGTGTGTGTGTGTGTCTGTGTGTGTGTGTGTGTGTGTGTGTGTGTGTGTGTGTGTGTGTCTGTGTGTGTGTGTGTGTCTGTGTGTGTGTGTCTGTGTGTGTGTGTGTCTGTGTGTGTGTATGTGTCTGTGTGTGTGTGTGTGTGTGTGTGTGTGTGTGTGTGTGTGTCTGTGTGTGTGTGTGTGTGTGTATGTGTCTGTGTGTGTGTGTGTGTGTGTGTGTGTGTGTGTGTGTGTGTGTGTGTGTGTCTGTGTGTGTGTGTGTGTGTGTGTGTGTGTGTCTGTGTGTGTCTGTGTGTGTGTGTGTGTGTGTGTGTGTGTGTCTGTGTGTGTGTCTGTGTGTGTGTGTGTGTGTGTGTGTGTGTGTGTCTGTGTGTGTGTGTGTGTGTGTGTGTGTGTGTGTGTGGTGCTATTCTTAGTTCCTCACTTGTAGGCCGTCACTCACACAGCTCTGCTGCTCAGAGACCTGAGAGACGAGCTGCTCTCTCTCTCTCTCTCTCTCTCTCACTGCGCTCATATCAGCGCCACTGCTGATGACTGCACAGCGGTGGTCCTGTGGGGGTCTCTCCAGTGATGAATGGGGTGGGAGGAGCTGATAAACTGTTCAGCAACAGACAGACTGCAGTCTGTAACTGAACACCTACAGAGCAGAGCTATAGGGGAAGCATTTCTAATAAAGTGGAAGCACAAGGTGGGTGTTTCCAATAAAGTGGCCAAGTAGTGGAAGCACAAGGTGGGTGTTTCTAATAAAGTGGCCAGGTAGTGTAATATGATGTTGTATGAATGTGTTTCTAATTAAATGTGTGTGTGTGTGTGTCTGTGTGTGTGTGTGTGTGTGTGTGTGTGTGTGTGTATAGGGTGTGTGAACTGTTACAGGGTGGTGCTGTGATGAATAAGTGTTTTCAGCCCCATGAAGCTCACGTCCCCTTCCTGCTTCAACTCTTCATCGACTACAACCTGTACGGCATGAACCTCATCAACCTGTCGGCCGTGCGCTTCCGCAAACGCAAATCAGGTACCGCCACCCGTAGCCTGCGCCGCTGGGGTGGCTGAAGCTGCTCTAAGGAATCTGCTAATGTTGCTTGTTAGCTGAGTTAGCGTTGTAGCCTAATCTGCTAGCCACTGTAGCGCTGCTGAAGTTACTGTAAGAGATTCACTCGCAGTGTTTCCCTGTCATACTTAAATAGATATAGTGGTTTTGGTTTATGCTGCTGACTCCACCTTCAACGTAAACAATACAAGACATTGGGTAGTGTCACACGCTGCAGTAGTACAATGTTAAAATGTGTTATTGTAGAAAAATGATCAGTCATATCGTTCTGCCGTCTTAAAACAGTTTGTTTTGCATTTTATTCTTTCCAGTGGTTGTAATGTTAACATTATAAAGTTTGGTCAGTAGGGGGAGCACTGCACTCACCGCTCCATCCCAGACTCCGCCTACCAGAACAGCCATTGGCTCATGAGCCGCTGAACGCTGTCTTTTTATTGGCTCCCTACTGAAATATCTGCATGAATTAGGGTGTGTTTTATGTAAATGATGTGTAGATGGTTGGCGGGCGCTTGATGTCGCGCGCTGACGCTGAATGCACAGTGTATTCAGTTAAAGCTGTGTTTGTGTTCATGACCTGGTGCTGTTGGTGTGACCAGTTTAACAGCTTGAGGGTAGAAAGTGCTCTTGAACCTTGTGGTTCTGCTTCAGTTGCTCTGATATCTCCTCCCAGACGGCAGCGGGTTAATCAGTAATAATACTTATAATAAGAAGCGAAAAACAAAAGTTAAACTCGACTGAAACTTTTGCAGCCTGTCTGGAGGAGAGTAGAGACAAGTTTAAAATGATTGATTGACACCATCAACCCGAGTTTTAGAGACTCCAGTAGTGAATTCCAGCTCTCTGACACTCTGCAGCTAAAATGTTACTGACGGAGAATTCCACCAAAATTTCAAATGTCTGCTAATTCAGTGTTTGAGATGTAAACAAAGTCCTTCAGAGTGGTTTTAATGTGAAATGGTTTGAAAAACTAACCATCTCAGATGTCTTTACAGTGGTGGTGATAGGAACCAGGGGTCGCCATGACTACAACACAGATATAGACATTTTATTTACTATCCAGAACCACCAGTGAACCTACACGAGTCTTCTGAGTTTATATGGAATGTTGATGATGGAAAATAGTGGAAAATCTGAAATAATAAGTTTTCTTTGGGGACTATTTTGCCTCACAGCGCCCTGCATGTATCCCTCCACCATGAATGGAGTTCAAGTTCTCTAAACTATCATAAAACAGTGTCTCAGTCATCAGGCAGTGAATTCATAACCATTTCATGTAGGAACTTTCTGTGAGGGAGCTTTTAGAGGTGGACGTCTGGTTCCTATCACCACCACTGTGAACAATTCTGACTCGGTAAGTTTATCTAGAACAGAGCGTTTCACACCAAACCACTCTGAACCACTCTGAACCGCTCTGAACCACTCTGAACCACTCTGAACCGCTCTGAACCACTCTGAACCACTCTGAACCACTCTGAACCACTCTGAAACTCTCTGAACCACTCTGAAACTCTCTGAACCACTCTGAACCGCTCTGAACCACTCTGAACCACTCTGAACCACTCTGAACCACTCTGAAACTCTCTGAACCACTCTGAAACTCTCTGAACCACTCTGAAACTCTCTGAACCACTCTGAACCGCTCTGAACCACTCTGAAACTCTCTGAACCGCTCTGAACCACTCTGAACCACTCTGAACCACTCTGAAACTCTCTGAACCGCTCTGAACCACTCTGAACCACTCTGAAACTCTCTGAACCGCTCTGAACCACTCTGAACCGCTCTGTTTACATCTGAACCAGTTAATTATACAAGAATGTTGAAACTTTTTTTACACAGTGTTAATGAATGAACACTGATCTGTCGATTTGAGGACAGACCGTGTTGATTTAGACGCGTCCGCTCTGAGAGTAAGCTGGTGTCATTTAGCGGTGATCTCTCAGCGTCTGTCCGGTGGGAGAGAGTAGTGGTGGGGGGTGGGGTGTGTGTGTGTTGAGTATTAGAGCCGTTTGATGTTGGGAAAGTCCGCAGAGATCAAACCGGTGTGTGTGTGTGTGTCAGTGTCACCCAGTTCCAGAGTTAATGAAGCAGCAGGAAATCCCATCCGGAGATTAGCACACACAGATTAGCAGGCCCCGCCCACTTTCCCCTCCACAATAGCTCAGCTCACCTCTAATGTTCTCTCTGCACACCTGCTGCAGCGCCAGGTTTAATTCCTTTTAGCTTTATTAGTCTGACTGTATTTAGTTCCAGTGTTACAAAAACATCGTTAAAATCAGTGAGTTAAAGTCCAGATCTGACTCACTGAGCAGCCTCTAAACATTCTCTAAGCTTTTCAGACGTTCAGTGAAGTTTGGGTGGTTGTGATTGTTTTGGTAGTGACAGAATAGAATGTTCATTAGTTTTAATAAAATAATCATGATTAAGGTTTAGAGTCACTCAGATCTAAAGGGTTTTAGTCTGAAGTCCAAGATCAGTTTAAAGTCTTAAAATTATTTTCAGCTGTTTTTTTTTAACCAGTTCAGTAGAATCATCTGAATCTGAATCTGAATCTGAATCTCTCTGTCAGAGGGTCACAGTGCGGTGGAGAGCAGAAGTCCGTGGAGAAGCTCCTGCACCTCCAAGCTCAGTGACAGTGTTCTGGGCGGAACCTTCACTCGGTGGGACGAGGATAATTTACCCAGGTTCATCATCATTTCTTAATATTTTTGTCTCAGTGTATTCATTTCATCGCAATGTATGAATATTTATGCTTTCAGTGAATTCACTACATTATTTTCATCTTAGTGTATTCATTCAGTCACAGTTTGTGAATATTTATGCTTTTGCTATATTCTGTGCATCATAATTGAAGCATATGATGTTAGTTAATTCAGTATGTTATAATTTGTGAATTAGTACTTCATACTTTCTCAATAGTTATGCTTTTAATATGTTCTACATCTTAATCTGTGTATGTTTGTAGTTTATATTGTGTATATTCTATGAATTAAAGATTTTTTGTGTTTGGTATTTTAATGCTTTAAATGTATGTGTGTATATATAATATATATATATATATATATATATATATATATATATGTGTGTGTGTGTGTGTGTGTGTGTGTGTGTAGTTCTCTGGTGATGGAGGACGTGGCGAGGGTCAGTGTATGTGAGCTGGAGGTGGACGCTGTAGCTGCAGATGTTCTAAACCGACTGGAGATAGAGAGTAAGACCCACATGAACAGCAACGACAACAACAATAATAATAATAATATTAATAATAATAAAAAAGGTGAAGCTGTGTGCAGACAGTTACACCACTGTGTGTGTGTGTGTGTGTGTGTGTGTGTGTGTGTGACTGTGTGAGCAGATCAGATCGGCAGGAATCCTGGACTGCAGGGCATCTGGGAGGATGAGAAGCAGCGGAGGAGAGAGAGAAACCAGAGCTCCCAGATTGAAACCCCTCACTCTCAGGGTGGGATTACCGTCCCTCTCGCAGAACAACCACAGTGCATTGTTTATTGGTTTATCAGATACACAGCTTTGCAGGTCATTTTCTCAGATGGACTAAGACCTTTAAGCTCCAACCTGCATCCAGTTACCTGCCCCGCCCCTTTCTCAGCTCTAAGGTCTTGTTCAGACTGCCAGCCCAAATCAGATTTTTGCAAATCAGACCTAAACCACATTCGTAGCTGCTTTGAAATGCGATTCCAGTCGTATTTTTACAGATGTGTCTCAGTCTGGACGCTCTGGACGCTCAGATCAGAATTCAAAATGTCTTTTGTGTCACTCGCAACATGCAAACAGCGACGATGTCGAATCCAGAGTGGTGAAGTGCTGGGATTCAAGAAGAGCTGATGAAGAGATGATGCTCCTCCATCTCTCCTGCATCCGCGACTGAAATCCACATCGCCAGTGTAGCTACGTAGTTACTGACGCCTACGTCGTTACCACGGCAACCCATGCAGATAGACTGGTGATGTCTGGACACACAAATCTGATCTGATCACTTATAGATAACAGAGCCACCTCAACAGATCTGATTTGAGGAACAAAGCAGTCTGAACACAGCCGTGTACATCTGATCCAGTCAGTCAGGGACTTGGGAAGAGGTTGGTCCTCTGGAGCAGGTGTGGCAGACTGTGTTTGGAGCTACACTCTGCAGGAAGGTTGAACTCCAGGACCAGAGCTGGAGACCACTGACCTACAGAGATGGACTGAGCCTGTTTGGACCCTGCATTAACATGTGTTTGGTGTCCAGATCGTATCTGGATAAAATTTGCACTGATTCCGTTTACACGTTTCACTAAAATTCATCTCCAGTGTGAGCTTAAAGAACCTTCTTATTCACTTCACTGCTGGATCTTTTATTTGGAGAGCCCTGAAGTAGGTTTTTATTCAGTTTACTACTGCATTGTGTACATAGAGAACCTTAAAGAAGCTTCTTTTTCGCTTTAGTGCTGGATCGTTTGTATAGAGAACCTTAAAGAAGCGTAATCTATCTGCCGTTCAGTGGACACTGTAAGGTTATTCTCAGGTCGTATGTGTTGTATTTGCTGTATTTTGTGTATATGTTAATTTTCCGTGTTGTGATGTTCCAGATCGGCCGTGTGTGGAGCAGGTGGAGAGCGAGCGGATCTTCATGAAGAGGTTTAAACAGATGCTGAGGGAGGACAAGTTTGACGTGTGAGCATCAACTTTTTATGATCATATTTGATCATCCTGATCATATTTGACTCTTGATTGTTTAATGTGTTCATAGAGCTGAACGAGGTGGCAAAAAGGAAATATCACGATACTTCAGAAAGTTTTCACAGTACTCGATATGTCATGATACTTTTTCTGGAGCAAAGCAAGACTGTATTTAAATAAATACCATCAGATACTCTAAATACAGTGATTTGTGTTCAGTGTTTCACTAAATCTACGGACTAATTCTTTCTCTCTTTGTAATCAAACATGCGGTTTTTCCGCTTTTATGTTTAGAAAAGCATATGTGACGTTATAATATCGATAAATTACACATCAGTCTAAACAGGTGTGGCTCTCGTACGGCGTCTCTCAGTTGCCTAATACAGACTGTGTGTGGCTGGTGCTAAAAAAAGCTCATTTATAGGTTTAAAAAGCTCATTTATTTGCCCCTCAGACAGCAGGTGACCTCGGGCAGGACAGCGACACTCAGTCTAAGTGTACTGAGACGTGTCAGTGCTGAGAGAGAGACAGAGAGACTCAGAGAGAGAGAGAGAGATTTCACAGAATGTTTTAATCACTGCTGAGTCGCCTCACTCCGGTGTGAAGCTGCTCCCGCGCCACTGAAGTCGTTAGCCGCCAGATTAATTAACGCTGCAGCTGCAGCTCTCCTGAGCTCTGCTACTGCCAGCAGGGAGACTCCATTAAAGAGCCCGTATCCCCCCCAAATCTCCTCAACGTCCACTCATGGCCTGATTAGGGTCCCCACAGACTCACTGAGAACAACCTGAGACTGTTTTGACTCTATAAATATATGAACTGAACTGAGTTTAGTCCTCAGCTCAGACCTGGTCCAGATCAGGCAGGTGTGCCAGTGAGAGGCTGAGAGGATCACTAGAAGATGCTAAAATGATCCCGTCTCTGTTTCACTCACACAGACACTGTCCACCAAATGTGGTCAGTCGACCAGCCAATCAGTCAGTCCGTCAGTCAGGCAGGCAGGCAGGCAGGCAGGCAGGTGGCCAATCAACTAATCTTTCTGTCTGTCTGTCATTCTGTCTGGCAGTCTTTTAGTCTGTTAGTCAAGCATTCTGTTCGTCAGTCACTTCTGTCTGTGGCAGTCAGTCTGTCTGTCAGTCAGTCAGTCAGTCTGTCATTCTGTCTCCCTGTCATGTCTGTCTGTCTGTCTGTCTGTGTATGTCTCATTCTATCGGTCAGTCTGACTGCCAGTCAGTAAGTCTGTCAGTCAGTCCATCCATCAGTAAGTCAGTCCATCAATCAGTCATTCTGTAAACTCTGAGTACATTGAGAGTGACCCTCTTATGCAGTTGAGCCGAGTGTTAGAACAGAGAACACTGGATTGAAATAAACATTAAAATAAAAAGGAAAAACATAAGAACCAGAAAAAAGACAACATGAAGTGTAAACTAGTAAGAATGACCAAAAAAAAGTTCAAAAAAGCAGCAAAAAATTAATAAGACAAAAAATACTAAAACTACAATTAAACATATATAAAAATAATAAAAATAATAATAGTAAGTAAAAGCAAAAACAATAGAACATAAGAACTACCTAGTGATCTCAGGCTGAGTGGGTGTGGTTAGAGATTAGAAGTGTAGAATGGTGAAGTGACACCAGCGAGTGGAGCTTTAGAGGTTCCTGTAATGAAGCCCAGCTCTGCTGATCTGCAGCTGAAAGCAGATTTTCACAGCGAGTTTGATCGTTTCCGTTATTTACAGTAAGCACACATGAGGTACGATGGCATTTGACCTATAAGTGCTTTATAAACAAACAGAAGGCAGCGTGTTTCCCACCGTACAGCCTGCTGTTGGTGATGGATCTCAGAGCTGAATGATAGACTGAGTGTTTAAGAGCATAAAGGAATAAATCATATCATAATCAGGAGAAGATAATAATGTTGCTAATCAGCCTTTTTCCCCCGTGTGCAGTGATGATGGTGTTCATGGCTGGATTATCAGGCTGATTTTTGTGGGTTGAACAGATTTAACATAAACTGAACAGTGCAGGAAGTGTTATGTTCACAGATCAAAGCCGTAAGACTCCACAGAGCATCTGCAGGTAGAATGTTACCTGATGTCTCAGACGGAGCCGAATTGGCTGTGATCAGGTTTTTCTCGCAGAGCTGATCTGGGATCTGTGCTGTTTTTCTCACCAGGACTCAGAGTGGATCTGTAGTTGATGATGATGATGAAGATGAGTTTCCCGAACTGTCGCTCCACCCTGACGTTCTGAGCCCTGACGACCTGCCCCCTGTTCCTGCCAGTCAGGTGGAGGTGCACAAGGATGCGCCACCAGGTGAGACACCGCACACACCTGGGCCCAAACGTATCCCAGTGAGGGATCGTACAGTCCCTTCAACAGCTTCACCTGTCGTCGTTCATTTGTCCATCTCAACCTCTCTTTCTCAAACGTGAAAAAAACTGACCATTGGGGCACGCTTACATTTATTAGACGTGAATTCCAAATTCCCAGCATATTTACAAGCTGTTTAACAGTAAATTAGTCCTCTCTTACTATCTCTCTCGGTTCCTTTCCCAAAAAGGCAGTTATCGCCTTTTACTAGGACTGAAACAATGAAAATACATCAGTGTTTAAACTGACACGCCATTTTCTTCTTATTATTACCTTTTAGATTTCTAAAACGCTTCAAGTAACATGACAAATGCTTTTCCTCAGTACTGCTGCGTAATTGCTGTGTGCATGACGTCAGTCACTTTCGGCTCCAGTCATTGGTTGACTCTATTCTATTCGCTACAGTCTTAAAAGTCATGGCGCCTGCAGAGTCCGAGTCAAGGCATCAAAGGTACTTCAGATTAGCACAAAACAAAAAAGGTGGTTTGTACACTTTGCAAAGTTTCGACGGCAGACCACAGACAACGGGGTAGTCCGCTTGCTGTTCGCCAGCTTTTTATTCGAATGTCACCGTTCCACCTTAAACAGTGCTGCAGTTACATTCTTGTGCCTGAGGTAAACTGCTGCACCATTTAAGGTGGAACGGGGAAATTGAAACAAGATGCTGGCAAATAGGAAGCTGACTCCAGCCTTGTACACCACAGCAGCACCAGTATGATGCACGTGCACCTGAAGAGGAAACACCCAGGCGCTGTTCTAAAACCTCTTGTTCTTATAGCTGCTAAATACTCATTATTAACCCTCTCAGGTCGACAACATTGTATATGATATCAGACATTGTGGCTAAAAGAATAAATATTTCTGTAAAGCTGCGTGCTAGAGGTGTACTTTCATTTTGCCTGGAATTGTAGTGTTGTTCCGGCGACAAGTCTGGAACACAGCCTCTGATTGGTCGGCAAGACAGGAACACAGCCTCTGATTGGTCGGCAAGTCAGGATCACAGCCTCTGATTGGTCGGCAAGACAGGAACACAGCCTCTGATTGGTCGGCAAGACAGGAACACAGCCTCTGATTGGTCGGCAAGTCAGGAGCACAGCCTCTGATTGGTCGGCAAGACAGGAACACAGCCTCTGATTGGTCGGCAAGACAGGAACACAGCCTCCGATTGGTCGGCAAGACAGGAACACAGCCTCCGATTGGTCGGCAAGTCAGGAGCACAGCCTCCGATTGGTCGGCAAGTCAGGAGCACAGCCTCCGATTGGTCGGCAAGTCAGGAGCACAGCCTCCGATTGGTCGGCAAGTCAGGAGCACAGCCTCTGATTGGTCAACAAGTCAGGAGCACAGCCTCTGATTGGTCAGCAAGTCAGGAGCACAGCCTCTGATTGTCCGGCAAGTCAGGAGCACAGCCTCTGATTGGTCGGCAAGTCAGGAACACAGCCTCTGATTGGTCGACAGACTTGACCCAAGGTGTCAGTGGACGGCTAATAGCCATCCTAACAGTAACAGTAACTCTTTTTAACACGGAGGAATGAACATATAATCTCAGAAGACGTTCAGTGCTGGATTTGTCATTAATGGTATATTTTACAAAGTCTCCACAAAGACAGGGCAGTTTGAAGCTGGATTACAAAGCTTATGAAAGGTGTATGATCACACGAAGCTCTTACTGTAATGGTACAAAGCTAGCCTTTCAGGAAAAAGTGAACGTAAATCTGTAGCGTGCAGCGTTCACAAGATGTTTGTTCTTTAATGTATGATGTCCTTTGATGTTGCTTACCACATCGTCGACCTGAGTGGGTTAAAGCCATAAAGTCATCTGCCTTTCCTTTGAATAAGTATTTGAGAAATGCAGAAAATATATGCGTCCTCTACTCTGATTGACAGTGCCAGTATGTGTGTTTGTGCACTTTGAGCTTGATGGGACACGTACCTTATCTGCTCATTTTATTTCTGCCATTATTTTCTTTGTGTAGAGGATGCTAGAATTTGATTTTATGGAGGAAATTTAACTGTTTCGATTAATCGACTAATCAGTGATGGATTAATCGATAGAAAAAAGTCCTACCTTTTACACATCACCATCATTTACAGTATTAGCTTACATCGCTCTGTCACCCAGGCCCAGTATGAGTGTTATGTCACGCAGCTCTTGCATGTTTTTCTGCTTTAGCTACATTGTTGGTCTGTATTCACTAAATCCACTGCCAAGTCTGCAGAAGGAACCTCGTCTGTGCTAGACAGCTCACTGAGCTCCACCAGCGAGACCACCCGCCACTTGCACTCACTCTCACTGCTGACCACTAATGATGGTAATGATGTCATGCTTCTCTCTCTCCCTCTCTTTGTCTCTCTAGACAATAAAAGGTCTGGGGGGAAAGACGCAGAGGTGGCCATCGTAGACGAAGAGGCCATTCTGAGTTTGTTGGAGAGCAGCCAGACGTTCCTCCCCACTTCTCAAAGATCCAGTCAGTCCGCTATACTTGGTACGTAGTCACTGCTGCGATCAGTCGTCTCCACCTTTCCAGTAAAACACCTGTCTAGTCGCAAAAATAAGGTAACACTTTGTTTGGGATGGTCCACTATAGGCACTTGCATTTAGCTAGTCGTATAATTGAAAGAATAGCTGACGTGGCTAACGGCAAATGGAATCTATTACCACAAAGTATTTACATGATCTTGGTTGGTGGTCGTTTACTTTCATTCTTAGCAACATCAACTTTTTTGACTGAGTGGACCTTAAAACCCAACATTTGCTCTAACAATAACCTTAACCACACAGTAACACCTATTCCTGACTTAAATCCGAGCAGTAATGGCTTGATAATTAGCGATAACTTTCAACAGTTTGATGATAATCATGATGATGATAATAATAATAATAATAATAACTTAAGTTCATCAGGGAGCACACTCAAAGCTCTCATTTGTCATGAATGAAGCCTTTATACAGTCATTTGCTCATTATGCTTTCCATGTTGAGTATTGTGCGAACGCTGATGGATAGGACTTGCATTGCAGTGCTCAAAGCTTCAAGTCTGTTTTTCTGCTGCTTGCCACAAGCTGTATGCTACTAGCAGTCACTCAGAACCAGCAGCACAGAAATGTTCGGTTCTGCCACCTCTTTGTGTTGCTTTAGAATAAAACTTACTTTTATCTTATTTTGTGTTGCTTTTATGTTCAGTAACGGAGCATGCAGTAGTCCTACACTAAGCTAAACACAGTTAAACTAAATGATTCTAATGTACAGATATATTCATAATCATTTCAAATGTTAAATATTAAACAAACATTCAAAGTTTTGAACGTTCGTCACCCAGCACTGTGCCTTCAGTGGTATAGCAGCAAGCCCTACCAGCTGAAAAGGCGGCACTTGTTGATTGTGAGAATAGTAATATTGAGTAAAAGTAGTCTGAAAGCTTCAGGACGAGTTTGTGTTATTACACTTCACAAGATACTTGGTGGGTCTCCACAGAAATACTGCCTCTACGTGTAGAACCTGGCACCAAAAGGTTGGTAACCCCTGCTATAGGGGACACTCAGAATAAAGGGTGACCGAAAAGATACCGTTCTTATGTTGGTTTTCACAGATATCAGAGAATTTTAGTATATACTTTTTATAGAACCTCATTTTCACTGGAGTGTTTTCCTGCTTGGCTCACAGACAACAGCCAGGACCAGGCCATGGTGGACCTGCTTGAAGGGCTCGCAGATGATGGCTTTCAGACAGACGTGTCTAGAACTGCGTCCGGTCGGCAGCTGTTGAGTAGCGCCAACTGCCCTTACAACAGCGACGAGGAGGAGGCAGTGCCTGAGCTTGAGAAAGAGGAGGCGGAGCTTAGCGTGTTGATGTCGCAAAGATGGGACAGTGATATTCTGGCACCCTCGACCCGGTATGGATCACTGTTAGTGTTTTTTGTTGTGACAGTGTTCACGTTTTTTATTTTGAGCGTAATTTTTATCAAAGTTTCTGGGTGTACGTAAAAAATGATACTTAATAATGTGCAGTCATTGGGGGGAAAAACTGAAAAAGGAACATAAAAAGACTATAAAGGAAGGAGGGGGACAGACAGTTATTAATGCTCTGGGGATGTGGGTTTGTTGGGAATTCCATAAACCTTTATATATGAGAGACTGTATGCTGGGTCTGAAAGCCTGTCTGGACACGTTGATTGATTGATTATTGAAGTGATTACAGGAAACAATCGGGACACAAATTCTCAAATGCAGAGGTGTAATTTTGCAGTTATTCCTCCATTAAAAAGAAATATTTATTCTTCTCTAGCCACTGGATTATTATTCTTCCAATATGGAAGTCTCTATGAAAGTGAATTGAAATGGACACATTCCAGTCCACAGGTGACACTGCTGTTTATCAAGTGCATAAAAGACCATGCTTTTAAGATTGGAAAATGAACATGTATATGTGGGAACTAATTTTCGTCTGTATTTGTGTATTTTTTTTGTATTTCTGACATAAAAGCCAAATACCACCATGTAAACTTTAGTTATTTCAAGCCATTTCACTTTTTCTCTTTTATAGGCTTACATTTTCTGATTGTTCTCCTCTTTACCATAATGTTACACTTTGAAATCATACTGCCAAGTGTAAACAGCTTAAAACTAGTCCATAAATACAGTGATTGTCTTTGTGACACTGTTGTAAGAATATTGTAAGATTATTCATCCTGTTTCTAGGTGTATTCTAGGTGTATTCTTCTGGCTTAATCAAAAGTCTATATGTTTTTTAAATGCATTGTTTTGTTGTCCAGATTGATCACAAAAGATGCAAACGAAAGCTCCAGTGAAGAGCAGCATGACTCATCAGAAGAAGAGATGGAGTGGAGCGGAAACAACGATCTCTTTGGTGACCTGTCCATTCCCCAGTTGGACGGGGCTGCAGATGAGAACAGCGGTATGTATTGATATGCCTAAAACTTTAGAATCTCTCACACTGGCATATGGTTCACTGGTTGGCATATGGTTTATTTAATTATTTTTTGTTTCTCTTGCAGATTCGTCACTAACTGACAAAGGTTCCCGAGCTCACTCTTCTCTTACGGCAAATGACAAGATCTTGGGAAGGAAAAACCACTTCCAGAGTGAATCCGTTCACCTGGAGCCTCCATCATCTGCCAAAGTTCTTCTTGAGTGCAAACACCCTGAGCACAGACAGTCCCTCTCACTTGATAAGGAGGAATCAGCTGACAAGAACTTTCCTGCTGAAGTTCAAGAAGGCAATGAACAGTTAACTGGGTTGAAAGTGAATAAAGAGATCCCTTACATCCCGCCAGTCAAGCACCCCATCCCATGCAATATACCAAATGTGTCCCAGGTTGGTGCTGACAAAGCAGACGAGCACCTACTTTTTAATAGTGAGAACAAAACAACTGTCCTGAATCAACCAGATCTGGATGTTTTGGCCTTTGGAAACTCAAAGCTATCTCAGAGTAGGAAGAAATACAGCAGCATCAAAAATGCTGAGAAGAATCACATATCCGTCTTGCACAATCACAAGAGCATTTCACTGAGCTTTTCTGAGCTTAGAAACTGTCCTTCCAATGCCGAACTGGATCAGACTCAGAAGGACGGCAGAAGCTCTGCGGTAAGGAGTTTTGAGCAAGTACCAAGCCCCATGGAGGACATTGAGCCTTTGGCACCTCAGGAAGGTGAACTAGGCCAGGGCAACGAGGAGGATGATGTCGGGGAGCTTAAGATCCGATATGAGGATTACCAGGAAAATAAAACAGAAAGGACTATAGTTGCCCAACAAGAAGCGCACTACAAGTTCTTCCCCAGTGTTATTCTCTCAAACTGCCTCTCAAGGCCTGTGAAAAAGCAGATTGGAAGTAAGACTGTTGATGGCTGTTGTAGCTTGGATCATCCAGAGCAACGAAGGTCAAGGCTGAAGCTGAACAAGAAAAGGAGCAGTCCAGCAAGTCAAAAGCGGGCAAGTCAAACGGAAAGCCCCCAAAGCCCCAAAAGTGAAGATGTCACAGGGTCTACTACAGGCTTACCAGACACAAACAAGGAAACTGATGAGAAAGTTGAGATGCAAAACCCAACCCTTGCAAAGTCTGATCCAGCTGTGGACAAAGGTTCAGATGAATGTTCTATTGAGGACAGGCTAGCAGATCTTCCTGCCAAAATAGCTTGCACCAGTGTATCCAGTTTACCAGGTAGCAAGTATACCTTACGTACAAAACGTAAAGCTATGAGTTATGACAATGAGGATGGTGATCACTCAAGTTCCCGTTCCTTCAAACAAGCCCTGGTACGCCGAGATAGCCTTAAAGAAAATGGTGTCCTCACTGGAAGTCAGAAAAAGAGGAAGCTGTCAAAAAAAGAGCCGCCGATTATCATCAAATACATCATAATCAACAGGTTTAAAGGGCAGAAGAATATGTTGGTGAAGATGGCCAAGGTCAGAGCAGATGAGCCATATGTGTTGCTGACACAAGAGAAGCTTGACCAGTATAACAAACTTGCCCCTCTGAAAAGTTTCTGGCCCAAGGTTCCAGAGTCACCAGCTGTCAAGTACCCTCTTCCAGAGCCAAAGGTAAAGAAACACCCCAAACGGAAGGCCAAGGTTACGCCGCCATCAGGGAAAGTCAGTAGTTCCTCAAAACCGAAGTCTGTACAAGGCAGTAAGATCAGAAGGACTAAGGTTAAAACAGAAGCATCCTTACCAAAACTGCCTGTTCCTTGGCCATGCTACAGTGACCGCACAGATGACTTCTGCAGGGAGTATTCAGACGTAATGGTGGAGTTGGGTTATCTCTCTGAGAGGGCACCCAGTCCAGCTGATTCAACCCCACCTCGATGCTGGTCTCCTACTGACCCTCTTTTAGAGTCAAATGTTAATGATCACTTGATAAACCCATATAGTGATCCTTGTCTTGGCTTGCCATATGAAGGTCTGTCCACAAACCTTTATGGAAGAGGCATTCGTAACCGAAACAAGACATCCAGATCAAAGAAGACATCTGATGTAAGCCCAAAAAGAAAAACTAAAACCACTCGTAAGCCAGCTGGCAGGGATTCTACAGTGAGTGGGGACATGCCAACAAAAAACACATGCAGAACTTCAAGAAGACCAAAGAAAGACACTGATAGTAGAGAAGGAACTGATGTTGGCAGTACTTCTCAGAAGAGAAGGAGATCGCGCAAAAAGAAGCAGGTTGAGGGATCAGAGAACTCCTCTGCAATAGCAGAGTCACAGAGTGGTTCACAGTCTTTACACCCAGCTGATAACCTTCCACCCACACAGACCTCATCTGATGATTTGACTCCCTACCAACGTCCAGATTCCCACCAGAAGAATCTTCAGCTTAGCATTTCAAGTTCACAAGCACTACCATCAGCTATTGAACCAAAGTCAGAAGAGTGTGAATCTAACATTGGGGATGTATTTGGCTTCAGTGTGCCTGCTTCAAACGAGCAAGATCCTTTTGTTGTAAAATCTCTAAACAGTGTTCTCTCCCCAGCGGCAAAGACTACTGGACAACCATGCTCAGTCATAACATATAGTAGGTCTAGTTCAAGGTCAGAGAGTGTAAGTCAAGATGGAAACATTTCCCCTAATCCTTATGAATTTAAGTCTGAGCCTTCAGGCGCAGAACAGAGCCCTAAAGCTATTCAACTTTCCCAAATAGCACCAAAGACATCTGGCAAACCCAGGCGACGGGCACCCAAGAAGAAAGAAATGGGAGAAAAAGCAGCGTTAAATTCTCCTGAGTCTACGATGTCAATGAATATTACAACAGATGGACCTCAAAAAGATCTTGCTGAACTCTATTCACAGCCAAAAAATGGAGAGATGCTGCCTCACCCGGAGATGCCTCCTGGACTTGCTGTCCTGAAGGAACTTCTCCAAAAGAGACAATTAAAGGGTGGAGACGCTGGTGTACCAGAGAGTGTATCTGCCACTAAGCAAGCTTCTGATGTTGCCAAACCTAGAAGGGTTCCCTCATCTACAACAAGGAAGCCCAGGGTCCCGAGAACTAAGGTGCCAAATGAGCCAAAACCACGAAACAGAAAAGGACAGAACGCTAAACCGGATAATCCTGTGAAACTGGAACCTCCTCTTTCAGATGGGAGCCCTGGGTTTTTGTCTGATCCTGGTTTTGACAGCTGTTACTCCATTGAAGATAGCTTATCTCCTGAGGTTCCTCATAATTACAGCTTTGATATCAATGCAGTTGGCCAGGCTGACTTCTCTGGTCTGTATTCCAGTACCCGATTTGTTTTAACTGACAAGAATTTGCCTCAGAAGTTCCTCAGTGATGTCAAGCAGGAGGCCATATCTTCGGATTTGGAAAACTTGCATGAAAAGGTGCTAGACACTAGGCAGAACTGCTTGCATGAATCGGCATGGCAGAAACCCAGGTCTCTTAGCCCCGAACTATTTGATAAATCCTCTGGTGGGAATGGGGAAGGGTTTCCCAACGAGTTCTCGCTGTCTCTGCTGGACTCTGAGAAGATTTTAAGAGGCAAAGAGTGGGGAGTCTCATTGGGTAAAATGCATGGCAGTCACTTTCAAGACTTTCACTGTGAAAAGAGTGACCTGTTATATGGCCCTGATCCCTTTTTACCCCTCACCTCAGTCTCTTTTGCTGACAATGGCGTGTCCCCAACCGGAGACCTGCTGGATGGAAACGATGCATTTACGTCAACAACTCCCAGCAGTTCCCCGCGGTCTATAAGCTCTCTGTCACAGCTGAGAAGCGGCAGTCAGGCTCAGAAGAGCGCAGGAGCTCACATCCTTAAACCCCTGATGTCCCCTCCCAATCGCGAGGAGATTCTTACGACATTGCTTGAGTTGGACCTTTCGGAGGCCACCTACCAGGAACCTTTCTGCAGTGACCCTTCTGATGTACCTTTTAAGCCAAGGTAAGAGTGCAATTGCAGTGTTTCTCTTGATTCAACTTGACTAAAGTATGTCGAAGTAGGTCTGTAAAATTCTGTTTAGGTGCAGGTGTAACTATACCTTCTTTGTGTTTACATACAGAGAGATTGGTGGACGCAAGCTAGTGGTGGAAACAAGGCTGGCAAAAGATCTGACAGAGTTCAGTAGCGAATTATCTCAAGAGGGTCTGCAGTTCTGGAAAACTGCGTTCTCTGCCATGACTTGTCCTGGATCATTGCATTATCGGGGTGCTGACTTGTCAAAATTCACCAAAGACCAGAAGGACCGCAGTCCGTCCCCCACCAACGATCCGAAAGTAATAATGCTTCCCTGCAAAAGTGCTCCAAGCCGAGAACGGGTACAGCTTTGGCTCCATGCTAAGAGACAGTATGAGTGCCTTCAGCAGGAGCGGAAAAGAACCGGTGCAAATAATATGAAGTTGGTGATATTAGACCAGGGCAAATCTCAGCAAGCTAACAGTAAGTCATCACAACAAGAGGAGTTAGAAAAGTCTGATATTTCACTTTTTTCAGAGAGGAAAAATCAAGGTTCTGAAAGAGTGTCGGCTTTGCGGACTCTCAGGAGAAAAGGGTTAAATTTGTCTTTCCATATATCCCCAGTAGAGAGTGCTACATCTGACAAGAGCCCAAAGTACATGAGTTGTGTCAAGGATGCTGAAAACAAAGGACAAGAAGAGGGAGAGGGGGACTCCCTCAAACAAACTCCTTCTCCAGACTCACCTGACCTGCCACCATGGCAGCAAACTACAGATCAGAGTTTTGGTCCAGATGATGACAGGCAGGAACTGGCTGCTGGATCGGAATCTCCCAGGCTGGGTGGATCCATCAACCCTTCCTGTGAGTCACCGGACAGTATTAAGCCAAAGCAGTTCCTCAGTCCCTCTCCGTTTCCCATGAAAGCTCAGGATGGAGACAGCCTCAGCCCCTGCATCCTCCACAGCACTCCGGTCATCAGCAGGAGGAAGAGCAGAGGGGATCCCGAGGTAGACTACAGCCCTCCTGGAACAGAAGGTAGGGAGTCCTTACCCTTAATGAGAAAGTTTTGATCAAACCCTTTTTTGAGCTTCTTGGAACTTTCTCAGGGAAAAAAGGTACTGAATTTTCACTGGGGTGGTACCTGTCACGTTACTGGGGTGGAACCTTCACTGATACCTCTTCAGAACCTTTGGTTAGGGAACATAACTATTATTTTCCATCGCAGTCATATTTTTTATGTTGCATTGATCTTTCTATTTGAAAACATTAGGTTATGTACCTGTATCCCGGGAAAAACTTGTTTAAGATACATAGTGGATGATGCCGGCGTGATCAGATCACGTGGCTGGTTCAAGACGTCACAGAATAAAAGTAAAGTCGCTTTAAGTGTTGCTATCAACTTCTGTCAGAAGTGCTGGCTTGAAACGCTGTTCGTTTTTGTTTCATGTTGAAAGGTCAAGTAAAAATGGAGATAAGGTAATAAAATTTTGATATAAAAATCATATTTATGCGTGTGCAAAACGGGTGGAGGCTGGTGTTGCATTTAGCATTAATCTTAGTATCTTCGTTTTTCAAATCCGATTTTATGTGTTTTGTGTGTTTATTGGTCCAGTATGTCGATACAGTTTGTCAAAGTGAAAAAGTAATTATCAGGTCATATAGGCGATGTGCTGAAGAAAAAGATACCAAACATTGTCATGGTCAACATTTTTAACGTGATGTGTAAAGGCAAAATGAAAAAGTATTCAAAAACAGCTAAAATAGCCCAAACCTTCAAGGGTTAAGTTGGACCATTAATGTGCCTTTGAGGCTACACTGTTAGAAATAAAGGTCCTGTTCAGGTACATTTTTCATTCATCAAGGTACAAACAATGTAAATGTTCCCTCAAAGGTTCAACAGTGGTTTTAAGGTTTAAATTCAACATTTATTGTGTATTGACAAGTCTGAGCCCGTGCATCAGTTTTCAGTGTCAACATGACAAAATTGTACAATTCTACTTGTTTTTCGAGTTACAAGTGAGAAATGATTGAACAAAACGTCAGAAGTAGCATTTCAGGGTGTACAAGCTGTGAAGATCTAGGAGGTTTAATTGTGGTTAATGTAGCTCTAGACCACCTTTTGTCATCAGCGCTTTCTCCTTTTTTTCTTGAATGCGTTTGAGCTGTGAAACTGTAAATGAGATAATTGGGCTAATCAGGCAGATCACAGCTGATCACAGGGATATAATGAATTTCATTTGAAGGCAGAATTACACAGCCTCTGCATGCAGTTCTCAACCCATCTGTAACACTGAAGAGAGGATTTACTTTAGCCAAGTTTCAGTGAACGCCGTTGACGATGTGTTGGGTTCTTTTTCATTGAGGAATGAAAGGGTTGCAAAATTCCTGTCTGCATGAGGTAGATTACACCTCCGAATGCAGTACGACTCTCGGTAGTAGCACTCCGCACAGGTACTCGAGGGCTCAGTTACCTGCTGAAAGTGTCTATATTCGAATACGGAAATCATTATTTAGGTATTCATTATGCCTCATCAGGGAATCAGCTAGCGGTCATACAGTGCAGCAGTTCAGTTCTGCTCGTGTTTGTGATTGAGTATATTTCGCTTTACTGCTACAAAACACAAACCTTAAAGTGTGCTGAGGACATGATTGAGTAGGTAGTTAGACTGTAACTAGGCTAACTACTTTAGCTCAACATAAATGAGGTATAGAAATGTAAGATATTTACCTCCACAAACTACTATGTTAACCATGTCACCCATGGAGGAGAAGAAGCCTCATGTGGGAGACAGCAGGTCTTCATCAGCATTCAGTTGCACCTTTTGCCATAATTAAGCAGCCAGAGCTCATATACACACTTTGCCATCTCCTTCTTAGCTTGGTGATAGAAGTGCAGTGGGAGAGTTTTGATTAGATTTCTTCTTAACTTTCCTTTTCAAACTATTTGACTCTTTTTGTGCAGAAGTGGAGCCCAAATCTAGGAGAGCACAACAGAGGAGGAACAGCAACACAGATGCGTTACGGCGAGTGCTGCTGACCACACAGATGAAGGTATTCATTTACACTGTAAACCAGAATACTGCTAGTGTCTTTTTTAAAGCTAGCCCAGTGGGATCAGACATGATCTCATAACGAGAATACACAGGTGGAGAACCGAGAGTGAATTTTGGCTGGACAGAGTGTAGATTTATTGGTGGGAACAAGCAGAGTTTTAAAATTCTAGTTCAATCAAGCACTTCAGAAGACGAAGCTTAAAGTTGGTGCAGCCAACAACAACCCTGTCCTTACTGCCGTGTAAGTCGGCATAGCTGAAAAGTCTTGGAATAAGACTTTAGTTAAGTATAAATAAATGTATGTGCTGTGAAATAAAAATGATCTCTTGCAAGGTATCAGGACAGGTGGATAAAAATGAATGTGATAAACAGTTTTTAAACGCTGTGTCCACTCACTGTCCACTCTATTAGACACTCCTACCTTCTCAGTCCACCTTGTAGATGTAAAGTCGGAGACGATAGCTCATCTGCTGCTGCACAGTTTGTGTTGGTCATCCTCTAGTCCTTCATCAGTGGTCACAGGACGCTGCCCACAGGACACTGTTGGCTGGATATTTTTGGTTGGTGGACTGTTCTCAGTCCAGCAGCGACACTGAGGTGTTTAAAAACTCCAGCAACACTGCTGTGTCTGATCCACTCAGACCAGCACAACACACACTAACACGCCACCACCACGTCAGTGTTACTGCAGTGCTGAGAATGATCCACCACCCAAACAGTACCTGCTCTGTGAGGGTCCATGGGGGTCCTGACCACTGAAGAACAGGGTAAAAGGGGGCTAACAAAGTATGTCTTAACTTGTGTAATGGTGTAGTGTTAACAGTCCACTGTTCTTCCTGTACAGAATCAGTTCACAAGTCTGAATGTACCCAAGAGGGACAGCTCTCAGATCGAGGGTCCGTCTGTCTGTAACTCGTATGGATTTAAAGTCAGCATGCAGAACCTGCAGGAGGCTAAAGCTCTGCATGAGGTAGGAAATAAAGCACAGAACACCATGCAGTTTGATTTGAGTTGCACACAGTCTTGTCTTTTGTGAAAAAGTAAGCGCTCCACAGCAAACACTGCTTTTCAACAATAATAATAATAGCAACAAAATGGAATGGGTCGTACCGAAGAGTGACTTTAAACGTGGCATAGCCGTAAGATGCCACTTTTGCCAATGTGTGAGATTTCTGCCCTGCTAGATCTGCCCCAGTCAACTGTAAGTGCTGTTATTGTGAAATGGAGCAACAACAGCTCAGCCATGAAGCGGTAGAGCACGCAAACCCCCGAGTGGGGGCGCCACGTACCGCATAAAAATCACTGATTCTCTGTTGCATCACTCACTATGGAGTTCCAGATTGCCCTGGAAGCACAAGAATTGTGGCAGGAGCTTCATGAAATGGGTCTCCACAGCTGAGCAGCTGCACACAAGCCTAAGATCACTATGCTCAATGCCAAGCGTCGGCTGGAGTGGTGTAAAGTGCCACCACTGGACTCTGGATCAGTGGAACCGTGTTCTCTGGAGTGATCAGTCAGCTTCTCTATCTGTCAGTCTGATGATGAATCTGGGTTTGGTGGATGTCAGGAGAACATTACCTACCAGAATGCAGAGCCAACAGTACAGTTTGGTGGAGGAGGGATGATGGGCTGGGCTGTTTTTCAGGGTTTGGGCTCTCAGTTCCAGTGAAGGGTGATGTTGATGCTGCAGCACAAAGACATTTTACACAGTTCTCTGCTTCCAGCTTTGCGTCAGCAGTTTGGGGAAGAGCCTTTCCTGTTCCAGCATGACTGAGCCCCTGAGCGCAAAGCAGCTCCATAAAGACATGGAGTGACCAGTTTGGTGTGGAGGAACTCCAGTGGCCCTCACAGAGCCCTGACTTCAACCCCACTGAACACCTTTGGGATGAACTGGAACGGAGATTGTGAGCCAGACCCTCTCGTCCAACATCAGTGTCTGACCTCACAAATGCTCTTTAGATTGAGTGGACACAAATTCCCACAGACACACTTCCCAGAAGAGTGGAAGCTGTTGTAGCCCCAAAATGGGCCAACTCCGTATTAATGCCCATGGTTTTGGACATCCAACAAGCTCATATAGGCATGATGGTCAGGTGTCCACATACTTTTGTCCATATAGTGTGCAGCTGGCTGACTTCTGCAGGCGTTTACTTTCTTCAACACTGTGACTTTCCATCAATTTCCTTGCCGTGAGGTTCCCTGAACGTTCTTCTGTTCTTCCTCAGGTCCAGCACCTGACGTTGATGAGCATGGAGCTGCATGCGCGGACTCGGCGGGACCTGGAGCCTGACCCTGAGTTTGACCCTGTATGTGCCTTATTCTACTGCCTGAGTTCCGACAGCACGCTGCCCGACTCCGACAGCAAACAGATCACAGGAGCCGTCATCATAGACCCAGACTGCCACTCTGCAGGACAAGGTCAGACAATCAATCAATCAATCAATCAGTCAATCAATCAAACATTTATATTCTGTACAGACAGGTTTGCACTTCTGTTTTCTGTTACAACAAAAATGTGAAGGATGTCTGTTTTCTGCAGAACAAAACTGCACACCCAGCAACAACTCCATCAAATTCAGATCCTAATAAAATACCTCTCCTTCTTACAGACAGTAGTGTTGTTCAGGTTAAGGGTTTACAGTCTGCACTTTCCACACAAACGTCTCAGTGAACTGTGGGTCAGTAATAATTTATGTAAAATTACAGCAGGCTTTTCTCCTGTTGTTACTGCGCAGGCTCGAGGAGCACAGCGCCCCTGCTGGTCAGGTCTGGTGTTGCAGGGCTGCAGGTCAGCTACACTGCGGATGAGAAGGAGCTCTTTGAAGAGGTCTGCAACATCATGAGGAAGTAAGAAGAGCTTTATATAATATGGGATTAATATAACTTGGGTTATTTCTGAGGCTTGCTTTATAGCACAGGGTTAATAAACCTGGGATAATTTCTGCAGTCATTCACTTGATGGTTCTCAGAGGGGGTGTGATTGGCTGAGAGGTGTGTTCTGCAGAGGGTTAATTGGTTCTCTCTGTAGATATGACCCGGACATCCTGGTGGGCTATGAGGTGCAGATGCATTCGTGGGGTTACCTTCTGCAACGGGCGGCAGCGCTGGGGCTGGATGTCTGCCAACAGCTGTCCCGAGTGCCAGGTAAGGTGACCATACACCTGACCACACCGTCAGACTCGTCCTGCAACTAAAGAGTGTTTCTATAATTGATTAATCTGTCAGTTGTAATTTGGTATGCAAATTTCACTGTAGTTTGTTTATTTGAGTTTGAAATGTTAAAAAAAAAAGTTTTTCACTTTTGACAAGGGGAGCACAAACTTTTGCACGCAATTGTATATGTTGTGAGTGAATGGCTAGACTTCTCCCTCCATCTCTAGGCCGTAAAAGAAATAGAGTGCCACCTACTGGACTGAAGTAGCAGCTGTTCAAGCCTTTGTTGCTAATACCAGACTGAAGAACGTCTTTCAGTGAATGTCTATACAAATATTTATCAATATTTACCAAATGCCCGTTATCAATATTAAAACGTGTTTGATTTTAATAAGCATCTTTGTTTTATCACTCATGCTCAGTTCCAGCAGTGCTACAGAAACCCCACTCATGTTTTCACATTGATCAGTCTGCACTAAATGCCCCTCAGGTCTGAGCTGTTAAGCTTCACATGCAGCTTTAGTGGCTTTATCCCAGTGGTTTATGGGTAATGTAGTAAAATGTCTTTTGTTCTTCTCTCAGGAGATGCGAAGGAGAACCGCTTCGCTGCAGAGAAGGATGAATACGGCGCTGACACCATGTCGGAGATACACATCGTCGGGCGCATCATCATCAATCTGTGGAGAGTCATGAAGACGGAGGTGCATTTACAGCTAATAGGATTATTATTATTATTATTATTATTATTATTATTATCATTATTATTATTATTATTTATATCATTATTATTATTATTAATAGTAGGCGTTATATTAGGAGGAGTAATAGTATTATTGCAATTATAACAATTGTAGTAATATAATATGAAGTAACAGTACAG